TTCTCAGTGTCTATATGGTGACAATCATCTGTAACTCCAATTCCAGGGGACCCAATGCCCTCTTCTGGCCTCTTCTGTGGGCACTGTACACGTGTGGTGTACTTACATGAAGGCTAAACACTCACACATGTAAAATAAAAATAAATCAAAAAAATTTATGAATAACACTAGTTCAAATAAGCAGGAGAAGTAAACTTAAATCATTGTATTTTTTAAAGTAAATCTAAGCAAAAGAAAAAAATTAGTCGACAGAATTTTTTAAAATAGGAAGTAAAGCAAAAACATACAGTTTATAGTCCACTGTGACTGCTACTAAGCCAGAGATTCTCAACTTCCAATGTTCAGACATTAGCTAAGAGGCATACTTGGATCCCTTGATAACAAGAGATTCCCCTTGAAGGAGGACCCTGCAACATGGTCACTAACGTGCAATGTAAACTGCAGTTGACAAACTACAGTCCACAAGTCATATCTGGCCTGAAACCTGGCTTTGGAAATAAAGTTTCATTGAAACACAATAATGTGTTCAGGCAAACATACTTTTTCTGTGTTCTATTTTGCATTATCATGGCAAAATGAAGTGGCTGAAAACAGAGAATGTATAGCCAACAAACCCTAAAATATTTACTATTTGGCTTTCTACAGAAACAAAAAAATAACTGCCCTTATAGTAAATCTTGCAACTATTTTTCAGACTGACAACATTTGCTAGTAAATGTATATTGGAAAAAAGAAACACCCAGACCACTTGGAAATTACCAGCCACTCATTTTAAATAAATATAAATTGTCAAGGGCAAAGACACCACCATTTTCTGTTAGTTAAAAATAGAACTTAGGTGATCAAGTAAAGAACTGGTTTGTGGCTCAAAAATGAAATCCTGTCATTTGCAACAACATAGATGGAACTAGAAAGCATTACTGCATCAAGTAAAATACAGCACAGAAAGACAAATACTACATGATCTTATGCCTGTGAAGAATATAAAGTCAGTCTCACAGAAGTTCAAGTATAATGCTGATTACCAGGAGCTGGAAAAGCAGAAGGGAGTGAAAGATGAAGAAAAACTGATCAATGGATCAATGAATATCAAGTCTACAGTTACATGGAAGTAAGTTCTAGTGTGCTACATGAAATGGGGTGAGTACTGATAAAAACATACTTTATTTTTGAAAAAAGTTGGAAAATAGGCTTTTGAATGTTTTCATATAAGGAGACAGAAAATGCTTAAGGAGAAACAAGCTCACTGTGATTTAAGCAGTGTGGATGTATACATTATTGAAATATATAGAATCCAACTGTTTATGTGGCATAATTTTTATGTTTTTATCTATCAAATGAAAAACAAATTTAAATTAATATATAACAAGCAAACCTAAGTGGGCTACTTATAGCTACTCATATTTACTTTTTAATACTCATTTGTTATATTTATTAAACACAATCTGTAGTTATTTCCCAGTTACTGGATACAAATGTTAAAAATTTCCGCAGTGCCTGTTCAGCCCAAATGGAGTAAGAGTCATTATTCTAGGAAAGGCCAAATGAAAGCTCCCACAACTTCTCTACCCTACCAGAACAAGTCCAAAGCAATAAAGCATCCCCAAGGGAATTGCAGAGATTAGCATCACCATCAAAGACATAGAATGATTGTGAGTTATCCCAATTTAATCAGGTTGTTATACCAATTGCATGCAGCTGCTATTCCAGATGTGTTGTCTTTAGTGAGGCAAATCAACGCAGCCTCTGCAAACTTTTATAAAAATACAAGTTAGCAAGTACTTTTTTTTTCTGTATCAACCCAACTACCACAGGTCTGCCTTTGCTTGGCATAACCAATAGTGTATCTCTCATCCATAGTATACAGTTCTGCTTTGGGCTAGAGTGTAATTCACAGAAAGAGTGACTGTTTTTTTAAAACCATGTGTAGTTGGGGTTTATTATGTTATATGCAGCAGTCCAAACATTTGACATATGCTACCTTATTAAATTCCTTGAATTTTACAAGAGAGATTTAAGGGTCCAGAGATCCTCTGTTTAACTCAATGCACTCTAGTAGCCTGTGGCACAGAAGAGCTATTTCATTTGCATGTCAATCATCAGTTGGCAGGTACTCAGCTGCCTGTACCTTTTGACCTTTATGAATAATGTTGCTAAGAAAATTCATGTCTAATTTTTTGTATAGACACAAGTTTTTATTTCTCTTGGGTATATGCCTGAAAGGAAGAAGGGTGGGTCATTTGATAAGTCTACCATTAGCATTTTGAGAACTACCAAACTGTCTGCCAGAGTGGCTGTCCCAATTTACACTGTCCACCACTATGTCTGAGGGTTTCATTTTACATTCTCACTGTCTACTACCTTTCTAAACTTTTTAAGAAGCAATTGTTTCTCTGAGAAGTTTATAATTACACGTACTTGAAAAGGAAAAATTAACCAAGACATGAATCAAACGGGAAATGATTCACAGAGAAAGTTGGACTTACACAGTACATCAGATAATCAGTAATTCTATAGGAGTGGCAAGAAAGGAATATGGTCTTTTAAATCTATTTGCATGAAAGCAGCAGCAAATATCTAAATGTACCATGTACCTGGTTCTAGTCTAAATGTTTTAGACATGTAATCCTCATAAAAGGCCTAAAAGGCCAATTTTTATTTTACCAATGATGAGCGGGAGGCACAGAAAAAAGTACTGTGTTCAAGGTCACCCAGCTATTGCAAGCAGACTTCAACCTAGGCAGTTTGAATCTTGAACTGGTGTTCTTAATTACTCAGCAATACAAATAAGTCCACATGGTTCACTCCAAGTTACTGATGCTGCACTTAAGAGTTTACAATTTCCAGTGTGGAGACTACCTATGTAATTCTTGGTTTGGGCATTAACTATGGATTTGGGCTACAGACTACTTAATATAAAGTCACAATATTTTCAAAACAATGAATAAAAAAATGTCTATAAAACTCAACACTTACATTACAAAGACATACAAAACTTATTTTAGGCCATGATAAACTGATGTTGGGTTAATATACCTCAATTTCTCAAGTATGTTAAGAGTTTAAAAGACCAAATTTAGGGACAGTAAATACAGAGGACTTGAGGTTCAGTTCCCAGCACCCATATGGCAGCTCACAATTGCCTGTAACTCCAATTCCAAGGGATTCAATGCTCTTTCTGGGTTCCATGGGCACCAGGCATACACTTGGTACAAATACATACATGCAGGTACTCACATATATACATAAAAATATTATTTTCCAAGGCCAAGTGTTGTAAACTCCCAGCACTCGGGAGGCTGAGAAAAAAGGATCTCCTTAAGTTCTAGGCCAGCCTGGACTAGAGAGAAAGTCCATCTCAAAAAACCAAAACAAATCTACTGGCCAAACAATCACATAATCTCTGTGTTCCATAAGGTACTTCCTGAAGAGCTTATGCTTGGCTATTGAGGTATAGATTCCACAGTTAACAGGCAAGCCAGAATATCTGTCAGAAAAATAAACTTGAATTTACTATTTATCAATATTTACCAAACATTTATACAAAATAAATTTTTTTCAGAAACAATTTTCCAATCAAGCAGGTGTGTGTTTGTGTATACCATCTGTTCTTATAAACAGCCTAAAATTCCCTATATGGGGCCAGTGAGATAGCTCCGTGGGTAAAGGTCCTTGCTACCAAGGCAGACAACCTGAGTTTGATCTCTGAGACCCACATGTTGGAAGAAGAGAATCAACTTCTGCAAGCTGTCCTCTGAAAACTGCTCACATAATGTGTGCACATGTGCGTGTGCATACACACACACAGACACACACAAACACACATGTATGCAAATAAATTTAATAAAAAATTAAATAAATAAGATTCCCTATGCATGGTTTAAAATCATACCAAGAGACCTAAATATGTACTCAGCTACCAGAGAAAACTGTTCTTTAACAGTTTTTTTGTCATTAAGTCCAATGGCAAATTAAGTCACAAACATTAAAAGATGTAAAATATTAAATGCCTCAATTTTAAAATAACTATTATCAGTGTGCTTTATTAACCAATCACATTTCAGTACTTAGGATTCATTATACAACACCATTTTTTTAATTCATATTCTCTCAAAAGTCTAACACTTAAAATTAGAGAATCTGAACTCCTGTAATGAATAACATATCCTTTTCCCTATCATCAACAATCTGTATTTTACCTCTGACAGGTAAATGGATTTTATGGTATTCATTGGCCAACTTTAATACCTGCGCTCTATTATATTTACTTCTTTATGTTTTCTTTGATTGAACATTTCTTATTTTGTTGTATTTATTTAGATGTCCTAAGAATGTGTGGAACGAAGTGAAAAGAAATAAGATTTTGAAAATACAGTAAATATATTCATACTAAAGTACCCTTTACTCTAAAATAGCAAATGAATAGTCATAAGCGAATAACCATTAAGTGAAAAAATTAACAATAAAAATTATAAAAACTCTAAGTCAATAATTAAAACCTTATCCTCATAAAGTATGGGCAAAACGTTTGTTATGTTATCTCCTTCAAAGTAAAAAAATACACTTATCTCTCAGTACATTTGATTTTAATACCAATAACCTTGGATGTATAATTCTCTTGAGATTATTTTTAGTAACATCTTTTATAATTTAATAACATCTACATTTTATATCATTAAAATGAAAGTTGAAAAGGAAAAAGGTCTTTCTTTGTCATAGGTACAAGGAATGAATATGTAAAAACAATAGATATGGAAAATATAAAATATTTACTTTCCTTTTATTTTAGAGTTTTTAAATAACCTAACCAGTAAAGCCTTATATGAAGGATAACTTCATGTCTTATAAGAGAAGAAAACAAAACCCATTAAGAAAGCTAAGTATGGCGGCAATTCAGCCCATAATCCCAAGACGCGGGAGAGAGTAAGATTGAGTTCAAGTTCAGTTTAGCAAAACAACAAAATCAGATTTTCAATGCACATGGGTGGAGGACAGCTTACCCTTCTCCTCCCATTCTTGTTATCTTAAGGCGAAAATCCACAGAGTTCAGACTGGGAGGTTTCCATTTCAAAATATCATCACATCGGCCAGGTTTGTATTTCTAAAGTGAATGAAAATGAAAGTAATAATCAGTAAAAAGCTAAAATTTATAATTCATTAAATACATTACTTTTTATTAAGCAAAATTGCCACTTCTTTTTCAATTTACTTAGTTGTGAATGTGTTGTGTGTGCCAAGGTTTGTGTGTGTAATTCAGAGTACAATTTTCTGGAGTTGGCTGTCTTTACGCCATGCACATTCAAGTAATCACTCAAGTGCCTTTACCCACCAGGCCGTCTTGCTGGCCCTACTTCTTCTCTGAACTTAAGCTTTTTATCTTGAGGGGAGAGGGGGGACAATTGGGTGTGTCTTCCTCAATTGCTCTCACTTTCTTAGGGAGACAAAGGATTTTCACTGATATGAAGGTCACTAACTCTACTAGTCTGCTTGGCCATTCAGCCCAAGGGTTCTTCCTCACTTGTGGTTTTCCTAATTTGTTTAAGGAATCTTTTCCTAATCTAAAAACTCACTGGAATTTTCTACTATGTTTTCTTAAAGGAGTTTCCTAATTTCAGTTTCTTAAGAAGACAATCCATTTTGGGTTTCTTTGTATCTGTCATGAGGTGTAAAGGAGTTAGGGACCTGCAAGATCTCTGGGAAGGTAAAAACACCTGCTGTGTGGGCCTGGAGACCTGAGTTCAATCCCGAGAACCTACTTAAAGGTTTTATGGAACTCCACAAAATTGTTCTGACTTCTACATGCATGCCACAGAACGTGTATGCCCCCTCCCCCACAAGCAGAACACAAAATAATAAAAATAATTTTTATAAAGAGTAGGTTCATTATTTGGCAGATACTCTATTAGTCCAATATCAAGTGATTATTGTTCCTCATTGAATTCTTATGAGACTTTTGTCAAAAAGACAACTGTTTTCAGATACATTTCTGTGCTCACTACAGAGCACAAGTGACTTTTCTGCTAGAGCTGCAAGTGACTTTTCTTCCAACTAAAGAGCATACTGTTTCCATTATAACAGCCTTTCTAATTCTTAAAAAGGATATATGGAAATACTTGAATTTTATTTTTCTTTTCCAAAACACTTTGTTAATATAATATTTGTATTTCCACATAAATTTTGAAATCACCTTTTATGAAAAATAAATCTCCTGGAATTTCTATTAAGGTCACAGCAAATCAGTAGATCAGCAGTTGGGGAGGGTGTCATAAAAATGCTGAATCTTCTGATTCATAGACACTGCAAAGCTCTCCATTTGTTGAGTCTCCTTGAATGAATCTCAGCAATGTTCTATAGTTCTCAGTGTACAACCTTTGTTAAACTAATTTCCCACAAAGACTGTTTTGTTTCTACACATCAGCAGTAAAGATCTGGGTCTAGGTTTAGAAGCAAACACAAGAGTAAATCTCTTCATGATTGGTAGAGTATGTGCCTAGCCCTTGGTTCCATCCTCAGCAAAGCATAATCTAAAATTCCAGCACTCAGGGGGGAGGTGGGGAGGAACAGAAGGATAAAAAGACCACTGTCTTCCCTGGCTACATATGAGATAAGGCCAATCTGGGTTATGGGAGGGTCAGACCTTAATGACCCTTTCTAATACAGAGGAATCCAGCCTCATTACCAATATATTTATATTTCTGCTCATCCTATGATTCATTGAAAATTATTCCTGGGTTGCTGACACAAATGCCAGAAGTAAGGGAAGGAAGGAGGGAGGGAAGGAGGGAGGGAGGGAGGGACTCAGAGCAATCTACAGAATCAAAACAATCCCACTCAACAGTCTTTTTCACAGAAATGAAAAGGTCCATCTTAAAATTCATAAGAAATTTCAAGGGGCCCCAAAGAACTGAAATAATCTTGGGAGGGAAAAAAGAAGAAAAAAAAAAGAACAAAGTTCAAAGTTGAAAGACTCATGTTTCCCTTTTATTTTGGAGACAGAGTCTCATATGCCCCAAGTTAGCTTCAGTCTTACTACATAGGCAAGGATGATCTTAAACTTCTGTTCCTCCTGCTGTGCCTTTCAAGTACTGGGATTATAGGCATATACCAGTTATACAAGCCCAGTTTATGCAGTGCTGGTGATCAATCCTAGGGCTTCATACATGCTAGGCAAGCCCTCTATCAACTCACCTACATCCCTAGCCTATCCATTTTTTAAAACATACTAACAAACTGACAATTTTGTTCCATATTGACAAATGGAACAGAATTAAGAGTATAAAAATAAATAGTCCTATATGACGTTTTAGAAGGGCCCTAAGTCCATTCGATGAAGAAAGGAAATATTGTCTTCAAGAAATAGTGCTGGTTCTTGTTTGAGCAAGCCAGGTCCTGAATTCAATCCCCACAATTCACATAAAGGTAGAAAGAGAGAACAGGTTCCACAAAGCTATCCTCTGACTTTTACACACACACACACACCAAAAAAGTAAATGTCATAGTTTACTTCTAGTTTTACAGTTTCAGGTTTTACATTTTGTCTTTAATTCATTTTATGTTGCTTTTTCTTTCAGTTGCTTTTTGTATATGGCATAAAGGTCCAACTTCTTTCTTTTGTATGTGGCTATCCATTTTTTTCCCAATACCATTAACTGAAGGTAATATTTCCCCCTTGGACCCCTGGAGCTATGAATGTAGTTCAGTGGTAGAATATGTGCTTAAGCAAGTATATGGCCCTGATGTCAATCCTGAGTACCCTAAGCCCCACAAATTAGTAGACTATGTATGACTGAATTTCTTTCTTTATTCTCTTACTCTGTTTGTTTTTAATGTCAGTGCCACACTGTTTTGATAACATAGCTTGGCAATATCCTTAAAGTCAAGAAGTATGAAATCTTCAATTTTACTCTTCACAAAATTGGTTTGGGTATTCAGTCTCCTGAATTGGGGTTCCATACCAATCTTCAAGTTTTTTAAAGTTCTATGAAAAATATATTAACACTTTTGTAAGGATTTCATGCATTTTGTACATAGCTTTGCATAATATGAACATTTTAACAATTTTAACTCTCCTAAACCATGAACAAGGGATATTTTTTCATTTATCTATGTACTTTTTACTTGGTTGATTAAATCTATCCCAAGGTATCTTACCATGAATAGGATTTCTTTTTCAGATAAAGTATTACTGACATATAGAAACTGATTTCATCCCACATTACTGAATGTGCTTGTTTGAATGGGCTTTCCCTGGACTTCCTGGTTCTCCACAGTCATCCATAAACAGGGATCATTATACTTTCAATTTAAATGCTTCTGTTTTCTTCTTTACTGTTGCTGCTGGTGCTTTTGGAACGGCGTCAGATAGATGTGGCAGAAGAAAGGGCCATCCTCATTGCTATCAGAGCACAGAGGAAAGGCTCTCAGATGTCCACCACTGGTTACCATATTAGCTGTAGATTTTCTTAGTTAATTAATTAATTAATTTTATTAAGGTGAGAGAATTTCCTTCCTTACCTTTTTGTTGTTGTTGTTGAAAGCTTCTAACACTGAAAAGACGCTGAATTTTGCCAAATGCTTTTTCAGCATCTATTGAGATATTCATGTGGTTTTTTATTTCATTCTGTTAACATTATATTGTTACAGTGTTGATATCATACTAGCTGATCTGCTTATGCTTAAAGAAAAAAACAAAAACCTTCTATCCTGGGAAAGACCTCACTAAGGGTTTTTAATGTATCCTGAAAACGCCTTAAGAAGTATTTTATTTGGATGGCTTAAGGACTACTTATTGAGAAACGAGTATTTTAAGTCTTTAAGGCTGAGCAAGATTTATAGTAGAAAGTAAACAGCAGCAAAAATGCAAGAGTGAAAAATACAGGATTTACCAAGGAAAAGTAAATTGTAAATTCAGTGCAGGCTTAAGAGAATGAGACAGACTATGGACACACTCAGGAAAGAAAAGCCAAGTGACTTCATTCTCATTTTGTTCTAAATTTTGAGGATGGCCTCAATCTAGCTATGTAGCTGAAGATGGAACAGAGCTTCTGAGTCTGCTGACTTCACAACCTGAGTGCTGGGACTACGAGAGTGAACCACCGCACCTGTTTTATGCAGTGCTGGGATGAATTTAGGGCTTCCTGCCTTTGAGGCAAGCACTCTACCAACTAATCCAAATCTCAACAGCCATTATCAGTACTACTTTTAGTACCCACAAAAAATTACATTATAAGAGATTTTTATAAATTGGAGAAAAACTTTAAAACCCCTGGCCATAGGATCACATTTCAAACTGAAGTCAATATAGTAACAATTTAGTACAATATTTTTGATAAGAAAGAGCATTGGAGTTTGTAAGAAACATCATTGCTAGGCCAGGCATGGTGGCCTAGTATTCAGGAAGCAAAGACAGGTGGATCACTGCAAGTATGAGGCCAGCCTGGTCTACATAGCAAGTTCCAGGCCAGCCAATTGAGACCCTGCCTCAATTTGAACAAAATATATGGTATTTCCCCAGGTTTTATGTTTTAATGAGGACAAATGTAAAATCAAATTTATACTATTTCAACACGAATTTTCATTCCTACATTTTCCATGACAGATTCATTTAGGTGACATATACATGATGATTACAAATATCTCTTTGCAAATTTAAATACTGAAACTGGAAAATGTTTCCAATTGTCAACTCATCTCTAAAAAGAATCTGATAAAAATGTAATCATTTTTGGTAATTATGGATATTTGATAGGAATCTCATAAACGTTTCAGTAAAGTAGCTCACAATGGTCATGAGGGGTCAAGGAAAGTAAGATGGAAAGGAATATCCCCAGGAAAGAATCAGCTGAAATCAGAGCCTGCAAGCCTGTGTGCTGCACAAAGCCTATGTCCATCCCATCCTTAGTCTCTCTATAACCCTGGCCAAAGGAATTCAGACTTACAGATAAAGCATCACTGTGGTCTTATGGTGAGTGCTACAAAAATAATAAGAAGTACATGAAAACTTCTTTGTTTCATGGTCTCCAGCATAATAGGGGCAAAGATATTATATAACAAAGCATGTATGGCTTATCACATCTGAAACATAGAATCTTGCTGATGTGT